CAGCCACAGCTGCTCTGGGCAACATGTGCCAGTGCCTCAGCACCCTCATAGGGAAGAATTTCTTCCTAATATCCAATCTCTAACCCTGCCCTCTGTCAGTGTGAAGCCATTCCCCCTTGTCCTGTCCCTCCAGGCTCTTGTAAATAGTCTCTCTCCATCTTTCCTGTAGGCCCCTTCAGGCACTGGAAGGCTGCAATTAGGTCACCCTGAAGCTTCTCTTCTCCAGGCTTGAACAATCCCAATTCTCTTTTGCATCATATTTTGAGTCATCGAGTTATACAATTCAGAAAAAACTCCTCCAGGACAGGGCATTGCTTTGAGATGGGAATGTTATCCTAAAGGGTATTTGAAGCTTCAGATTCAACCAGATGTAAATCCTGTAAGAGGGCAGGAGGATTTGTCCTGAGCAGGCTGGATGAAAGGAGAGGGAATGATGCTCTGATGGGTGAAAGCTGATTTCTGTGTCTGCCCAGAGAAATGCAAATTCCTGGCACTTTGCAGATGGATGATTTGTGCTGGAGACCTACAAGCTCTGATATCCCTTGGAAAGCAGCACATGCAATGGCCAGTGCTACCTGTGAGATAAAATCACCCATCTGTGCTTATAGAATCATCACTAATTCCCCACAGTTGTAGTGATTACTGTCACAGTCTTTAAAAGGTTGCAACTTTACTAGCAGATCTTTTGTGGTGCTGTGCCCTCCTTCCTGATGGGTGTGATTAGATGGGATGGATGTCATGATGCCCTTCTGTGAAAATATGGGCAATAGTGATGGAAATAATACCATAGGGAAGATTATACTGTGTTTGTGCAAAAGCTTTTATTTGAGCTTGGTGCCTGTGCTCACCTGTCAGTTCAGACAGTCTAAAAGTGCTTTGGAAATATGATATTTTGGGGGGTTTAAATTACATATTGCTTTGTGCTATGATGAATAATAAATGGAGGCAACTTTCTGCCAGCAGAGCCTTTACACCTCACAGTGTTTCCCTGAGGTCACAGAGAATCATAGAATGTTAAGGGTTGGAATAGATCTTAAAGATCATCTTGTTTCACCCCCTGCCCTGGGCAGGGACACCTCCCACCAGAGCAGGTTGCTCAAGGCTTTAGCCAACCTGGCTGTGAACACTGCCAGGGTTGGGGCAGCCACAGCCTCCCTGGGCAACCTGGGCCAGTGTCTCAACACCCTCACAGCAAAAACTTCTGCCTGATACATAGTCTAATTTCCCCCTCTTTAGTTTGTCCCATTACTCCAGTTCACAAACCTTGTTTTAAAAATGCTACAGAAGGTGAGGAACAAAGGTCTTTTGTTTATTTTATTGGAGGTTGTAGGATATGACTCCTAGAGCTGGAAAGCTTGTACAATTCCTGAGCTAAGAACATGGTGACACTGCAAGGGAAACACTGCAAGTTTTTCCTTCTGAAGGGAGAGGATGGAATGGGAGTTTGTTTCTGGCAAACAGAACCATTGCTCTGGCCCCTTCCACTTCTATAAACTGGTCAGGAACAAATCTGCTGTTCAGCACTTGATATTCAGGTGTGACTAGATGAGAATTTAAGTAAAACTTCTGAAACAAACCAACAAAAGACTAGGAAAAAAACCTAAATCTTTCAAACAGTCTAACTTAATAATTTCGGCTTAGATCTTTCAAGATACTTATCTGCCTAATTTCCCTTGATTTCTATATAAATTAGATACTTAAATATTTCTAGCCTCAGATCCTTAGGTCTTATTACCTTATTACAAGGAAGCAAACTTTTGAAGTCTTTTTTTCCTAGACCTAAAAGGTCAAGAATACTAACTGCTCTGACTTCAAAAACCTCCTTATTAATATTTGTTGAAATATTTAATACCATCAGGTAAATGGAGCTATAATGAGAGATGAAGAAGAAGGACAGAAACTTCTTTCAAGTCTGGGTTTGGCTTTCTTTTCTTGGCAAGACTTAGACTCAACAGAGACACAGACTACACAGAGAAGTCAGTCTTGCTTATTCATTCCCTAAATTTAACAGAGGAAATAATAAGCTAGATTGGCAGAGTAATTAGAAGTTTGAGGATTAGGATTTCCTCTTGAATTAGGACTAAATGTCTAGGAAAAAAAAGCCCTACACTTGAAGTCTTTCAGCTCAAAAAAAGGCTTCAGATTTACAAACTCTGTTTTGGGAGCACCTTAAGCAGTAACTTTGCTAAGGGAACATGAAATCCATGAGCCAGCAACTTCTGCCTAATGTTCCTGTCAGAGCTGGAAGGGATATTTCTGTCTGTTGGAATTAAAGGTGGGAAACTTATCTGGGACAGAGGCCACAAATTAGTCTTCCAGTCTACCTCAGCTGAAGATGGAAAATAGGGAGAGTTGAAACTGTGTTATGCCTGGGATTGGGGATGGAGCCTTTTTCCAGGAGCTCTGCATGGGTTCATAACAGTAATGTCAATTAGTTTCAGAAACACTTGGGCAGCATAGTTTAGTTTTTTGGTACTAGAGTACAACTGAGCTGATCTCATTGACTTATATTTAATGGGAAAGTCAGAAAACCACCAAAGAACCATGGGATTTCATGGGAATGAAATCCTCAGCATCCTCCCAGCCACTGGTGCTTCCCTGTGTCTTGTCTTTGCATCACTGCAGTGCCATTTATTTGTAAGACCTGAGTGTCCTTTGTCATTAAGGAAATACCTGGGCAGGTGTTTCACAAATCAGTGCCTTAGATCCACTAAAAGAAAGATCAGTGGCTGCAAACACTGCTGGACATAACCCTGGAATTGGTGAGGAGCTGCACAGAGGTGGGTCACAGCCAAAGCCAGAATATCCAAGGAATCATAGGTTTTGTGGATGTTCTTGTTTAGGTTTAAGCATTAGGTCTTCACATAGGTTGGTACAAGATTAGTCACTGTGACAAAAAGAATAATAGCCAGAGATCATAGAATCCCAGTCTGGTTTGAGTTGGGAGAACCTTAAAGCTCATCTCATTCCACCCCCTGCCATGGGCAGGGACACCTTCCACTAGCCCAGGTTGCTCCAAGCCCCATCCAACCTGGCCTGGAACACTCCCAGGGATGGAGCAGCCACAGCTTCTCTGAGCAACCTGTACCAGTGCCTCAGCACCCTCTGATTAAAGAATTTCTTCCTAAAATCTAATCTAAATTTCTCCATAAATAATCATCATGGAAATTCTAAGCTACTCCAGATAATTTTCTGTTGAGTTTGTTTATTCTTTTCAGATAGTTTCCTCCAAGGCAAAGCAGAGGTGCTGTGAGTTTATTCTGGGGAGGTTTGTCTTTGGTCTGGCTTATGACATAGTGTAATGGAAGCTCTGGGAAAAACCTATTTTAATGTAATTTTTGAACAAAGAACTGGTGAAAATTGCCCACTAAAAGGTCTACAAGGTTCAACCTCTTAAATTACAAGCATCCCATACCTCCAAACCCTCCCAGTTTTCAGGATGCTGAGCTGTGGTACTGCATTCACATTTTGCATTGGTAATGACCTAAAGCTTTCTCTCTGCTTTCCTGAGGCAAAGATTTCATAGCATCATTTCATAGCATTCATAGCATCCTACTAATCTCAAGTTTTAATATTGAGTGCAGGGAATATTTTCTGCCTTTGAGCCTTTGTGTAGCCTCAGTGGTTGTTTTGGTATTGCACGGGTGATGGTTAGACTGGATGTGGTTGCTCTCCTGTGTGCAGCCAGGCTGGATAGCTCTGCAGTACACCCATTTGTGAAGGAGCCCAGCTGGGGTTTAGCCCTCAAGGAGTGCTCCTGGAAAACCCTGTTCTGCCCAAGATTTGTGCTCAAATCCTTTAGATATAGGCAGAACAAGATAGCACAAAACCAGAGGATTTCAAAGCTCCTGGAAATACTTGGCAAAATCCTTTTTAACTGCAAGAGTGGCAGAGTTTTAAAATGGCTTTAAAGTTAATCCTTGATGAGGGAACTTCACTACAGAGGGGCAGGACTTGGTTAGTCTGATGTAGAGCAAGAGAGAAATAGCCAATTCTAATTAAGTTGTAGCATGGAAGGTGCTTAGAAATGAACTGAGGAGGCTTTTTGTGAACTGCAGCAGCAGGAGAGGAGTGTGGAAAAGTCTGGGAGGATCCACTAAACCCTGAAACTCTACCCAGGCACCTCTAATTCAATTATACCTGTCCCTCTGGGGAAAAGTTTAATTACATTACAAATTAATTTTACTTAAAGAACAGTTGGTAAAAGCCTAGGGGTCTGCATTGATTTATTTTTCCCTTGGTCTTTTCTTTTAACTTTTCTGTTTTGAATTGTTCTGATTAGCTTTCCCTGCTTGATATTCCATATCACTACAACTGCTTTGGCAAAAGAACTGTAGGAGCTTTAGGAGGGGGTTGGGATTGCTTTAGTCTTCTTGAAAGAACTGATGAGAAATTCTTTGAATTCTTGAGGGATGATGAATAACAGGACAAGCTTTATGCCCCTGTAATTAGCCCCAAATTTGATCAGACCTTTTCCTTCTCTGTATGGAAAGGACTCCAGTGCCAAACTGCAATAGGAGATTTCATACTGCACGTGGACACAGGGCAGTTCTGCTCACTGAGGCATGGACCTTTGGTTAAATAAGCTGCAGTTCCCTATAAAACTGTGTATATTTTGTGCAGCCACCCATGATTATCATCTGTTTGTGTTCATTTCCACCACTGCCAATATTCTGAGAAAGAAGAGACTTCTGCCAGAAACCAACTCTGCAATCCAGCCTGGAACAGCATCACTGAGGCCTAGGAGCAGCAAAGATGAATCTGAGGGCAACAGACCATCACAATCCATCATGAGGGCACACGGTGGAGGTGCAGCATGAAGGGGTTTTCAGTCAGGAGTGTATTTTTAAAACATGCTGTAGCTTGAGCAGCAGTTGCCTGATGTTTTAGGTTTTAGAGTTTACAGCAGTGACAGGTTAATGGTTGGACTCAGTGATCTTAGAGGTCTCCTCTAACCTTGATGATACTATGGTTTAGGGGTTCCAGCAGTCACAGGTTAATGGTTGGACTCAGTGGTCTTAGAGGTCTCCTCCAACCTGGATGATTCTATGTGGAACCTGCTGGAGACTTTTATGCAGTGTGGGAGGCCAGCAGAGATGGTGCTGGTGGTGGTCTCCTCTTCCTCTGGCTGAAGCTGTGGAAGAAAACTGCAATCACAGCTCTCTGGCTCTGCAGGATGGGCTTTAGGGCCCATTGTGTTGAGGTTTGAGGGTTGGAGCAGTGTGGTTTCTCTTGGGAGCCCTCTCATGGGGCTGCTCTTCCCCTGGGGCTGCCCTTCCAGAGCAGCTCTCTACAACCTTCTCCAACCAACACTGCAATGATCCCTAGTGCTCCTAAATTTGTGTCTGGCTAAAACTAAAATCTACGATGTCTTTTTGCCTGATAAACACCCCTTCTCCAACCAACACTGCAATGATCCTTAGTGCTCCTAAATTTGTGTCTGTCTAAAACTAAAATCTACAATGTCTTTGTGCCTGATAAACACAATGTCTGAGACCAGTATTTCAGCCATGATAGCCTGAGGACATCTTCCCTGCCTGCTGTGCAAGGCTGAACCAGAGTTTGGGGCAATTAGGCCTGTTTTGATGCTGTTGTTGCCTTTGAAGTAGATAGCAGCTCCCTCTGGATATCAATATGCAGCATTTGCAAGGAAAAGGCTTTCTGGAGCCTGTTTATTTATGTCTGCTGAACATTTCACATCTGTTTGGTCAAAGAGGAGGAATTTGTCCTCTGCTGAGGTTCTCCTCCTTGGTTAGTTTAATCTGTGAGGAGGATGAGGAGGGAAAACCAAAGTGTCAGGCTCAGCATCTGTTTGTAATGACATTGGACTTGGAGATGGGTCAGAAATGGAATTAATCCATGGGTGATTGACAAAAAAGAGGTGGTAACTGTGTAATTCAAAGGTGTGGGGTGAAGAGATGCTACCATGGCCTTTGCCTATAGCACAAATTAGAAATTAACTTTTTTTTTTTCTCCTTAAATCACATCACAAAATGCTTCTGTTTAAGGCAGATTAAATTACATGTGGGATCTGAATAGCAGGAGGTCCAAACAATGAAATTGCATTTTCAATTATACAGGCAGGGCCTTCTCAGAAGGAATCATGTGTCTGATCTGTTTGCTGCAGAAGTGATTTCATTCAGAGTCAATTCCTTCTGCCCAAGGAGTTCACTGTGTCTGTATTTCCCTTGCCTCCATCCCATCCTCGCTGGGCTATGATTTGTAGCATCTGGTACCTGCTGAGATACAGCTCTCACTGCCAGTTCTGAGCTCTGATCTAGATGGAAATCATCAGCTGTGAAAGGACAAGGGTGACTTTTTCAAGAGCAGCAGAAGGAAGTTGTTTTTTAGCTGTTTTCAGCTTTAAACATTTCCTGTTGGTTTTTTTTATTTATTTATTTATTTAGATATAATCAAATATTTCTTGATTCTGTTTTACTTAGGCCATTTTCTAGCTTTTTTTTCCTCCTAGGATACTCTGGTTTGGCATGTGTTTGCAAGATGTGTCAGTCTGATGGTATCACTTACTGATACCTGGTTTTTGTTCAACCTTCTGCTGGATGAGTGACTGAACATTAACCCTTGTTTCTTTCCTCCTTTTTCACTCTTTGGAAATGATGGTCATTGTCTTGGCAGAGTGGACTGAGATCTGTTGGGGAAAAGTAGAGTTAAAAGCAACTACCAAGGATTTTTGTTATTCTCTGGGAGAAAGTGGGACATACCTGAACTGTAACTCTGACAGGTGAGTCTGAAGGATAGGTAAGAGGAGAAGGATCTCCCTGCCAAGCAGAGGTATGACACAGTTGTAGGCTGTGCAGTGCTTTCTGTAGGTTCTACAACCTCTCCCTATGATTTGAAGTTTTGTCAGCTAATTAAACAAGGCCACAAGCATCAAAGCATTGGTTAGATATCAATCTTTGTGAGGGGGAGACTTCACATGGAAAGTCATTCCAGTAAGGGAGACTTCACATGGAAGTTATTCCAGTAAGCACCTTTGGGCTTGCTGAGCTCTGCTGAGTGTGAAACCAAAGTCCCTCTCCAGCTTTCTGGGAGCCCCTTTAGGCACTGGAAAGGGCTCTAAGGTCTCCCCAGAGCCTTCTCTTCTCCAGGCTGAACATCCCTATCTCTCAGCCTGGCTCCAGAGCAGAGATGCTCCAGCCCTTGGAGTATCTCTGTGGCCTCCTCTGGACTCTTCCCAGTGGCTCCACATCCTTCTCATGTTGGTGCCCCAGAGCTGGAGGCAGCACTGCAGGTGAGGTCTCACCAGAGTTGATGGATTGCCAACATAACTATGGATAACTCCTTACTCTGGGATTCCTAGTGTTGGAAACATCTGTTTGCTCATTGAGTCAGCTGATGTCAGAAAGGTGTAGCATGGTGCAGGTGTGAACAGGCTTCTCCTAGCAAGTTCCAAGCTCAAAGGGAGATGAAGGTGTGCTGCCTCTCCATCTGACCATGCCTTCTTCTGGGCACTGAGATGCAGAGGATAGAGCCTGCCTCTTGGTAGGAAAAGGGCTGGGAAGTCTTCAGAACACATAGTTTGTCATCCTATTCTTCAAAGGTGAACATGTTGCTCGTGACAGTCTCCTTTAATGATATTGCTCCTATTTTCAAGGACAGTAGGTGAAGGGTACAGTTAATACTCTCCTGGTATTTCCTCCCCTTTTGCAAATGCTGGCAGAAGTGTCCTTGTAGGCTCTTCACTAGGTGTTAATAAAACCTTTCTAATCTAATTAATGCTTCCTGGATTGCAGTTAACTTTATGCCCATGATATTCCGTGAGAGTCTTTCATTTAAAATTTAAAACCCCTTTTTATTTTTTGGTAATTGAAGCTCTATTTTTCAAGCAATTTCAAAGACACACAGCAGTACAAAGTGGACCTGGGCCAAGTGTGTGCACTCAGTATGAATATATCAATCTGAAGGCAGTGAATGGAGTGGAATCCAAGCAGTTTGAAAGGATCCTTATTCCTTTCTCTCTCATCACATTCCTTAGCTGAAGCCACATATTGTAGGAGGTCACAGAATGGTAGAATCACAGATTATCCTGAGCTGGAAGGGACCCACAAGGATCATCCGTCCAACTCCTATCCCTGCTCATGACACCCCAACACTGCACCCTGTGCCTGAGAGCATTGGCCAAACACTCCTGGAGCTCTGTCAGCCTTGGGGCTGTGCCCACTGCCCTGGGGAGCTGTTCAGTGCCCAAACACCTCTAGGGGAAGAACCTTTGCCTGATATTGACCTAAACCTCTCCTGACACAACTTCCTGCTGTTTTCTGGGTCCTGTCACCGGTCACACACAGCAGAGATCAGAGCTGCCCCTCTGCTTCCCTGGAGTACAAAGCACCTGAAATTCAGGGTTATCTAGCTGAAATTTTCCTTGTTGTAACTTGTATCCATTGCCCTTTGTCTAACCATGTGTACCTTTGAGAAAAGTTTGGCACTGTCTTGTCTTTATCATTCCTGGAATCATAAAAGTTAAATTACAGAAGACTTTCCTGTAGCATCTGTGCTGCTACACCATCCAAGAACCTCCTGTACTGCCCTAAGTGAGATGATTAATCTCCACCCTTTGAGGATTGATTCTTTTCATCATCTTTCCTCTAGAGGAAGAGGTTTGCCTTATGCTCTTTGCTTTGTTTTGGCAGTGTAGGGGTGTTTTGCCCTTTTCATGTTTGTTTTTAACATTTCGTTCTTGTTGTTGCTTATTGGCCTCCAGATCTGAAGTTAAAATGCCAAAGGCAGTGTTTTCTGTAGCTTCAAGTCCTAAAAACTTGCTCTGGAAATTGAAGTCTGCAGCTATGTTCTTTCTGTCCTTTGTTTCATCATAGGTGATAAATTTTCCCATCAAAAGCTTCACAGCCTATTTGCTTGTGATATGTGGAGCCAAAGGAAACAGAACTTGTTCTTCCATAATTATAGGGCTATAAAAGCATAATAAAAATAAATGTGGTAACAGTAGACACAACACCTCTGAAAATGAGCCCTCAGAGACAGCAACTCTGTTGGGTATGAAGGTATTTTTATCATGAGAGGATGTTACACCCCACACCCAAAAGTGTCCATCTCTCGTAGGTACAGAAGTACCAAACAAGCATTTGGAAACATCTCTGCAATTAAACTAGACCTTTAAAAATATTAAACCTAGAGGTTTCTTTTGAAGTTTCTTTACAAAGACAATGAGGATATTATTTAATGCTCATACCACCCCACAGGAACACGTGGAGCTTTGTCTTCACAGCTCTTGGAGGTTGCACAAAGCTCATGTACACTCAGAAAGAATTATGAGAAACTCCTCTGGGTCTTGTTTGCTATTGCAGAGGGATTTTCTCCTGCCAGGAGGCACTCTGTGCTGTGAGAAAACACCATTGTTCCCCACTTGAAGAGCTCTCCCTACCAAGGTCTCATAGACTAATTTAATCTCTTTTCCTATTTCCAGATTTCGCAGAGTTTGTTTTTCTGGGTCTGTTCCTTACTGAGATGTCCTTGAAGATGTATGGACTGGGGCCAAGAAATTATTTCCACTCTTCATTCAACTGCTTTGACTTTGGGGTAAGATTTATCTGGGTGGGTGAATCCCAGAATGGGTTGAGTTGGGTTAAAATCATCTAGTCCAACCATGGGCAGGGACACCCTCCACTAGCCCAGGTTGCTCCATGCCCTGTCCAACCTGGGTTTGAACAGTTCCAGGGTTGGGGCAGCCACAGCTTCTCTGGGCAACCTGTGCCAGTGTCTCACCACTCTCACAAGGAAGAATTTCTTCCTATTGTCTAGTCTAAATCCACTCTCTGTCAGAGTGAAGTCATTCCCCCTTGTCCATGGGAAAGGTCCCTGTAAAAAGTGCCTCTCCCATTATTCTGCAGGTTGGGCATTTAAGGGTGAGTATGGGAATCCATGGGAAATGATGCTGTGAGGGTGTCATTGTGTAAATTACTGCAGTGAAACACATTAAGCTTCCCCTAGTTATCATCCTCTCTGAAGCAGTTTGACAGCTGAGGATTTCATTTCCTCAGCAAGCTACAGGGTGTTCACAGCATCAGCACCTGTAAATACTCTGACTGCTGGGACATTCTCTCTCCCATGTAAATGAGGTGATTGAAAGCCAAAAAACCCCACACATCTTACTGCTCATCTGCCCTGTCATCCATTTAATGGCCTTTACCTCAGGGTACACAGGCAGCACTTTTCAGACATGAGTGCCCACAAGTAGAAGTCTGAACACAGGACGAATTGCCAGGAAGGCAATAACTCACATCCTTTCCTTGCAGAAGTACAGGCTCTCCCTTAGTGCTCACACTACAGCTCTGAAGTGTGAATAGTGGGGCTTGTTTGGGCTCCATCTAACAAAGAACATTGCATGTGGATGTTAATTTATTCATTAAAAGCTATTAGGCTGTAATCTATCCTCACAGAGGATAACTCAGCTTCTCTTATCTTCAGCGTGGGCTGAGCACTGTGTCCCAGAGTGGGAACCAGTCTGTGAGGGTTCTGTGACAAACCAGATACAGCCACAGGCAAGAGAATGGTTCAGGTCACTGTACACGTCACCCAGCTCTTCTCTCCAAGGTTCAGCCTCTTGTATCTAGTCTTTATCTGCCAAAGTGCTGGGAGTGATTCTTCTCCCCTCTAGAGCAAAATTGCTTTGCTCCTACAAAGGAGGAGGAGTAGAGGGTGTTATTACCTTCAATAATGCTCCTAAATCCAAGATTACAAGTATAACCAACTCATTCTCTTGCTGGCAGTGTCAGTGTGAAAGCTCAGAGTCAATAGACTTGGAGATGAAGCCATCCAGCCCAAGAATCACCTGTGTCCAGCAGGCTGAGGTGATGCATGAGGCTGCTCTATCCTCTCCAGGGTGATATCCCAGCTGTGGTGGCTCAGAGCTTTGTGTGTGTTGTGTCATACTCTCAGGCTGCACAGCCCAAGGGATAATGCACAGCCCCAAACTGTCCTCAGGGCAGAAATAGTCTCTTAAGGGTGTCATTGCCTGGTTTAAATTATCCAGTGCCAGACACTAGGTCAATGTCCTGCACCATAGGATTGAGCTGCAGCCAGTTAGCCCTATGCTGGCTGCCAGTTTCCCTGGATCCTTGTATCCAGGATCCTCCTTCCACAACAAAACCTTGTACCTGATGCTCAGGGACAAGTGATTTAGGAGCTTGCACTATACAAAAGATAAACCCATCAGGTCTCAGCTTTATGTCACACTCTGGTGTGTGCAGCACTGGCAATAGGCTTTGCTGAGTGTTTCCCAAGAGGTAAAGCTGTTGATCTGATTCTAATTCTTCCTCCTCCCAAGAATCCGTAGGGATCCTACTTCTATCTGTGTTTCTTCCTTCTCACCCACCTTCCAGCCCCCAGAATTAATTCAGCAGCTTCACCCCCACTGGAACATCACACAGATCTGTAGCCAGTTTAGTCTGACAAACCATCAAGATGAAACCATTCAAATGCAAAAAGTGAAGCAACAAATCAGAGCAACATCAGTCTTGGGAGTAACAGTCCAGTGGGGTCTCCTGTGGAACAGGCTCCCAGGAGGCAATGCTGAGATGCCAGGAAAACTAATTATCAGTGGAACATGTGGAGGGGCTAAGGAAAAAATTTTGCTGATTCACGAGGGATTCCCAAGAGGGAGAAACTGTAGGAGAGAAGATTTAGTTCCTTCTTTTTTTCAGACAGGAGAAAGTGGATGAAGAGCTGTTGTGTATCTCCCTTTCCCACTGCATTTTCTTGCAGCTCAGGGCACAGCATTTCTTGCAGAGCAGCTGCAAACACTGCAGTAGTTTTCAATAGACATCCAAGTTTCTGCTGATGAAAAGGGTTTCCAAGCTGCACTGCTCAGGTGCTCAGACCCAGCCCTGGCTCCTCATTAATGCTCCCTCCCACCACACACTCCTGCTGCTTGCTGGGCTCTGTTGATAATATGTTTATGGTGGAGCTCTGAAATGCAGGGTTAATGTGAGTAATAACAGCAATTGGCAGCCAAGTGCCTGTCTTCTCCTATTAACTGTGCAGAAACCTGTGTGGAGAGAATTGCCCTTTCCAACTGTGCTTAACCCATTACTGGTTTGTCCTTTTGATAATGAAGGATTTCTTAGAAATTATTTTCTTGCTTGAGGTTAATTCCCTGTCACCCTTAAACCAACCAGCCAAAACAAAGCTCTCAAACCACCTTGACTGGGGACAATTTTTTCTGTACCCTGAGGCTAAGGGCCTGGCAGACAATTGGATGTGTGTGCTAGAGGTTTTGCAGGATCTCTTAATAGCTATTGCTTTAATCACTCTCCAAAAGACTCTCAGTTGCCAGAAATTTCTGGTAGATCTTACCCAGAGCTAATATTTAACTGCTGTTCTGCAGGTAAAGGCTCTTGGTCCTTCTGATGGGAAGGGGTGGATGGGGCAGTGCCCTCCTGCATCTCTGCAGGCTGTGCAGACCCACTGTGTGGGGTGGGAAGATGAACTGCATTTGCAATTGAGCCAGTGGTAAAAAAAATATAATATAAAATACAGTTTCCTTTTAAAAAAGTTATTTTATGGTAGTTTGATTGCTGGAGAAAAAAACAACAAGTTCCTCTCTATGTACAGGAGATATATAGGAACACAGATATATAGGAGATATATATGTGTGTTCTGCTTCTAGGTATTGCCCTTTTTGAGACTGGACTGGAAAGGTGGGATAAAGTTTTCTAGTTCTCTTGGCTAATTCATGATTTTCCTGGAGTGTTCCTAAGAAAACCGTCCCAGCCCAAGCTCTGACTCCTGTGCTTTCCTCAGCCTCTCTAGAAGCATCATAGAGAACTAAGCTGAAGTTTTGCCTTATGTAAAATGGACTCTTCTTGCAGGTGATTGTGGGAAGCATATTTGAAGTGATTTGGGCTGCAGTGAAGCCAGGAACCTCCTTTGGGATCAGTGTGCTGAGAGCACTTCGGCTGCTGAGGATTTTCAAAGTCACAAAGTAAGTGCAGATCCCTTTGCTCTCACAGTAAACCTTTAGCACCACATGAGATCTGTCTTAGCAGCCCCATGGCAAATAGAAGCTCCTGCCACATTTATAAACAATAAGAAAATTATTAAATTGCTAAAATGTTATTAAAAAACCCCAAAACAATGCCCCAAACCCCTGTAGTAGCTGCACGGAAGTCCTAACCTGTGTCTGTACTGATCCTGATTGGGGACAGGAGCAGGAGGAAAGTGCATATGGGGAATTGTTTTTTCCTTGGATGGACAATGGGGGAAATTGGAAATTTTGGGAGGTTTTGCCCCTGTATTTGCATCTAGAAGGAATTTTAATAGCCCTTTCTTTTCGCAGCCTTATATCTACCCTTGGGCATAGGGTTCCACGTGATGGGCTGCAGAACATCCTTCTTGGATGCTCTCCTTGGGTTTTAAGCTTTAAAACAGAAATCTCATCATGTTAACCTTTATTTTTGTGGTAGAATAAATAACTTTCTTATTTACTTTTGAAGTCCCATCAACTGCTCACTGTCCTTATCTGCTGCTGAGCCTTAAGTATTTAGGAACTGGCAAACCAAGCTACCCTGGGTACTGCTGGGTGCTAAATCCTGGTGCCTGAGCCACTGTGTTGACACAAATTGAAGTGTGTTGCTGCTGCCTATGCTATGTCTGCTCTGGGAATATCTGAGCTTTTCAGTCTTGAGCCTGAGAGGTTGAATTTTCCCTGGAGTTGGGTTGCCACAGCCTTTCAGTTGTTTTCATGCTCATGCCTTGTGTTAATGTGTGCTGGCATTAGCAAACAGCTACTCTGCCATTTAGAAATCCATCTAGAGCCATTTCTGCAGCATTTCTAAGCTGTGGTGTGGAAATTGATGACATATTTAGGTGCTCCTGCTGTTGTTTTCCACCTTATTTTTTACACCATTACCTCCTAAGTTCTCCCTTCTTTCCATCACTCTCTTAATACTTCTTGGCTTGAAGTAACAGGAGGAGGAATAGCATCTCCCTCTAAAAATACCTCAACAACCTGAAATAGGTAAGGCATTGGTTATCCTATTTGAGCAAAACAGTCATTGGAAGTAACCAGGTCCTTTGGCAGCTGTTCAAAGGCACAGGTTTTGTTAGCTCTGTAGGATTTGCTGACTTGGAACTGGTAATTGTTATGCAGATCCCAGATTTGTGTATGGTACTCTGGGACAAAGGGGTGAAATCATTAAGTTCTGTAAATGTCCAGCAAAAGAGGTGAGTGCCTGTCCCAGAAATGTCACTGGAGTTACCTTTGCACTAATCTTATTTGTGAAAAACTTGTTTCATAGCAAATTCAGAGCAATTAGTCATCAGCAGTTCATTTTCTCCAGAGCTACTGAGATTTGCTCTATGTGTTGTCTTTGTAAAACTTTTGGACATTTTTGCAAGTTAATATTCTACTTCTGTGAGTTTTGGCTATTCAGGATTTTAGCCAACATGATAAAGGAATGAATCATAGAACCATTTAGGTTGGAGATGATCTCTAAGCACTTCCCCCACCACTGTCACATCCACCACTAACCAACTCCCCAAGTGCCACATGCACATGATTTTTAAGCCCCTCCAGGGCTAGTGACTCCACCACTGCCCTGGGCAGCTGTACCAATGCCTGACCACCCTTTCAGTGAAAAAATCTTCCCTAATATCCAATCTAAACCTCCCCTGGCACAATTTGAGGCTCTTTCCTCTTGTCCTGTCATTTATTGCCTGGGAGAAGAGATTTAACTCAGCAAGCTGGGGGCTCTCCCCCTCCCAGGACAGCAGTGACATTCTCACCCCACTGATGCTGAAGTTCCTTTGACCTAATTATGTGGATTTTTCACCTGACACGACAGAAATGTGCTCATTGTGTGACCAGGAGTCAGGTCCCTCCAGCTCCCACAGGAGGATCTCACATTATCCCAGTGCCTGAGCTGCTCAGCTCAGTCCTCACATGACTCCTGAGAGCCATCAAAGTGCTGGCACCAGGCACAGATTGCTGCCCACCTGCTCTCATTACTGTGAAAACATCCTGACCCTCACTAGGTTTTTTTTCTCCCTTTTCCAACTCTCTCATGGCAATTTCTCTCTGAAGCTCCTTGCCCTGTTTTGTTTTCCCTCTGTGTTTAGCAGAAGCCAAGTGTAGTCCTTCTGCTTTGACTAATCCATGGGATTAAACCTTTTGATTCCCACGTCCCAAATCAGGGTGACTGTGGACAGCAGAGTGATGCAAGAGCTAAAAAGTTCAATTATAGCTGGTCTGGAGGGTGACAGCAGGATGCTGAGAGGGGACACAGCCTAAGAGGGGCTAAAATTCAGAAAGAAGGACAAAGACAAAACATCTTCATGTGTTTTCCTCTTTGCCATGCCAGAGCTGAATGGGGATTGGTATCTGCAGAAGCACAACTCCTCAGTATAACCTCGTGCTCTGTATCAGGTGTGTTTGGTGCTGAGCTAGTCCAGGACAAGGCAGAGCCTCCTCATGTAGTTTGGGTCCAGCTGTGTTAAGTGCAAGATGTGAACCCTTTGCTTGTGGCAGGTTTGGCCTGAAGCTGTTGTGTCAAGCAGGGAAGAGCCATGTGAGGAGCAAACCTAAACCTCTCTGCCCTCTCCAAGGAGCAGAGCTCAGCCTTTTTTGCTTGGGGACTAACCTTGAGTAGGCTTGGGTGCAACTTTTTCAACTGAAGATACTCTTTCCAGAGTAACCTTGAGTAGGCTTGGGTGCAACTTGGGTGCTGAAATTTCCCTTGAAACCTCTCTCACTGTATTATGGATGTAACTTTCCATGGAATGAGTGCAAGATTCTGCTTTTCTTGGGATAGACATGCCTGTATCATTTTCCATGGAATGAGTGCAAGATTCTGCTCCTCTTGGGATAGACATGCCTGTATCATGCCCAGCACAGAGAAATGTGGGGTATTTCAGTCCTCCTGGCTACACCTGGGGGAAGGGAGAGGGGGAAAGTGAAGACAAAGAGGAGGAATAGTGGTTTTCCTCATCTGATTCATGCTCTGAGCTTCTCTCCCATCATCAGATGCAACGAAAATCCATGGGCTTCCTTCTGCTGGATACCCACAGCCACACTGCAGGAAGGAACTCAGTGAGTGGGTCTGTCCCCAGACACACAGGACAGGATGGTGGAGCATGTGCTGCTGCAGGGAGTCAGCTCTGGATCCAGGTCCCACTGTCAGGCAGTGAAAATGAGAGAAGCCACTGCAGAAAGAGAGAAAAATTTCCCCTGTGGTCACAGACTCCAAACTTTTAGCAAAGGCACATGAAATGGCTCTAAATCACTCATTCCCTGCCTGCTCCAGCCCTGTTGTTCCACACGCCTGTGTGTCCAAAAGGAGGTTGTCAAAGAGCTCCTCTGCTTGATAGCTCTTTCTGCATTTTCTGATTCATTAGTTTTCCTAATATAAATGCTCCCTGCCTGTTCTCAGCAGGGCAATAAAGCCAGGGAAGATCAGTTTCTGAGCACACTCCTGGCACACCAGTACTTCCTGTGCCTGCTGTGAGTGTGCCAAGGGCTGTCTGGGGGGACAGGGGACATAAAAGCAAACCAACCTCAGTATCTGGCCAGATGTGACTTGGATATGTCAGTCAGGATTCAGGCTGAGCCATTCCCTCTTGCTATGTTGGAATTATCATCCTGGATTGGTTGTCATACTCGGAGGCAGTTGCTCAGTCCTGGATGCTGAACGTGTGTGGCTGAATTGTCTCACAGTGAAGGCATCACTGGGCATGGATGTGTGTGTCAAACATCTGCAGGATGGGAATTTCAGTCCACTGGTGGATACTGCCATTGGATGGATTGGAAGGACACACTGCAAAGACATCCTGGTGGGAATGAGCTGTTTATTCCTTGTGTCTTATGGAGAGCAGAGTTCAATGTCCCTACTCTGAGTCTCACCTTGATGATATTGATACCTCCCTGCTGACTGCTGTGCTGCGTGAGAAGATGCCAAAAGGTTGGAATCTATCCCAGGAAAGGAATTACTGAGAAACTAAGCTGAACACATTCACTGCAGATGATTGCTCTGTATGGGTACACACACACTGAATCACACACACACAGACCAGCTCTGCCCTCAAAGTGCTCAAACAGATTTTATCACTCCTTCAGCTGTATTTTCCAACAGTACAAGGGAGTTTGAAGATGTTGATATTCCTTGTCATTCTTTTCCTTTATTTTTTATATACTAAGAAAATTGTAGAATCCTAGAACAAGTCAGATTGGAAAAGACCTTCAAGATCAAGTCCAGCTGTTCCCTCAGCAGGGCCAATGCCACCACTAAACCATGTCCCCAAGTGCCACATCTATATGTCTTTTAAATCCCTCCAGGGATGATGATTCCACCTCTGCCCTGAGCAGCTGTGCCAGGGCTGGAGAAGCCTTTCAGTGAAAAAATGTTTCCTAATATCCAACTAAACCTTCCCTGGCACAACTCCAGGCTAATTCCTCTTGTCCTGTTAGTGTTACTTGGGAGACAGTTCATAGCAGTCTCTCACCAAAGGCTCTTTCCCCACTCATGTTATCTCTTGGCTGCTCTGATCTCCAACACAGGTATTGGAATTCCCTGAGGAATCTGGTGGTCTCCTTGCTGAACTCCATGAAGTCCATCATCAGTTTGCTTTTCCTGCTGTTCCTGTTCATTGTGGTGTTTGCTCTGCTGGGGATGCAGCTCTTTGGGGGACAGTAAGTGTCATTGATCTTCATCCTGGGGCTGCAGGGCTGGAAAGGTTCATAACATGAGTGCAATGTCAGACTTTCTGGGCTGGTTTATGAGAAAATGGTTCCTGTTCCAATGTTTTCCCTGGAGCAGAATTCTTTCCTGAGAAGGAATGACCCTAACTCAACTCCTATGTCACCCCATGTACACCCAGAGCTGAAACAAGACTAAGGGAGGGAGCACTTCTTGTACTGTTAAGGGAAAGGCAAATTCTTTCCCTCATAACTAGGGTGACAAGATATTTATTCCCTTGGAATATCTTTCTGCTGGCAAACATAGTTTTGTTGAATCTGATTATTCTCATTAGAAAGAGCAGTTGTGATGAATTTTGCAGCAAGAACTATCACAGTATTACCATTTAAACTCCAGCAGCAAATCTGAAATGAAATAACATGGCTTTGGGTTGTGGGGGTTTTTTTTTCCAATCAATTGCTGGTTTATCTCTGAAATATTAAAAAGAAATTATCTACTAAGAGGGTAATTTCAATTTGGACTTTTACACTTGAGGACAAAAACTTCTTGGAATCATTCGTTCTGCAAAATCATTTGAGATTTTGAGTGTTCATTTTAATTGTGGCTGAAAATGAATTTCAAAGCATCAGAATTTTCTCCAGGAATGAAATTGAGTTTCTGCTAATAGTTCTGTTAAGCATCTTCTGAGAGACACTGTGTTCCCTGCTGTGGTTGCCTGAGGTGTTATTGCCAGGTGGAACAAATGTTGCTCCCTGACTTGGTTTATGGGGTGTTATAGGGTATTATGAGACTGCCTGAGAGCTGCTTGGCCCTTACTGCTCTGTTTTTTTGGTCTTCTTTCTCTCTAGATTCAATTTCAAAGATGAAACTCCAACCACAAATTTCGATACCTTCCCTGCTGCCATCCTCACAGTATTCCAGGTAAAGCCATACCTTGTCCTGAGGGAGTGTTAGAAAACATTCTTCCTGCTTATGGAGGACTAAGAGCTCCCCAAAAATCAGTGGAATTTAGGAAAGGGGAAGCCCTTCCTTCTCAGGTGTTTTACTCCACTGACCAATCGATGCATCATTAAAAATCAAATTGAAAATCAATGCTATGGAATTAAGGACAACTAGAACAAAAGATTTTTTTGCTAAGGTAAAAAATACTGATAAAACAGCTCTTTCTGTGCTGAATTTATGGTCAGTGTGTGCCCAGGCTGTGATGGCAGCACTGGGCTGTGCCTGACTCCATGACCTGTCCTGTCTGTGATCCTGGAGTGAGTGAGAGCTTGGCCTGGTTCACTTTTGCCTGTAGTTGCCATAATTTAATGAGCAGAGAGGCCTGAGGTAGCTGCAGGCAGTAGGGAAATAATGCAGCATTTTGCACAGTAATAGCTGGAGATAAGTTAATGCTGGATAAGAATTGCCTTCCATGAGGTTGCACAGAGAGGCATCAGCCTTGGGCGAGTTTGTGTGATGGCAGGAGGAAGTCTCAGCTCTGGCAGATGCAATGCTTGGATTTAAGAGCCTAATTTTGCAGCTGTTCTCTACATGCCTGTTTTAAAACAGTTATTTCAGGTGATGCAGGAGAAATCTGGGGCTGCTGCAACCTCCCCATGTGTAGGTGACTCCCAAAGGGCTGTGGAAGCCTCCTCAGCCCTTGGGGATCCAAACTGAATAGATCTCACCAAGGCTTATGTATTTCAGCATCGTGACCCAAAAAGGAGGAAAATAAAGGGGAATGTACTGACAAATTTTGGATGAAACTAGGAAAATAATCTAAAAGCAAATGTGGAATGTACTGACAAATTTTGGATGAAACCAGGAAAAGAATCTAAAAGCAAATGCATCCTGTGACCTCTGTGAGCAGCTTCACGTGAGCATTGCTTCTTGCCAGATGTGAAGCAGGTTCAGTACTTACCTCACAGGATATTGCAAATCATGGTAGATTAATATTTGCATAGTATTTTAGGAGTCATCAAAGAAAGGGCTTAAAGACACGTAAAGGTACTGCAAGGAGCCGGAACTGAACCCAAGTCAGGCTCCGGATATGAGCAGCTGGAAATGTGGATGTTTGCTTTGGGACTAGAGCTGTCTATGAGAATACTTAGCTGAAATACTTCCTTTCTAGTCCTGAGATAAATACCCTGTCATGTAGTGGCTGTGGGCTGGAGGAAAACACTGCTGCTCTGATAACATTTGTCAGAAGATCAGAGCTGTGAGTTGAACAAGCAGAACCTATGAGCACTGCAATAACTCAGTGCAGCCTCCCTGGGACATTGGGATAGTCTCTGCTCTCCGTCCATCCCACTCCTCCCCCGAACTGCAAACAACATTTCTTCACTATGGGCTTTGCTTTCCCTTCAAACCTCATCCTCCACAAGCCCAGCCAAGCCAGCAGCCTTGTTTGGTTGCTGCTCTGATGAGCAGAGGAACATCATTCAGCGAAAGCATTGGATGTGCTGAACAAACAGAATAAATCCATATGCACCCTGCCAGTCCCTAACCTCTTTGGGGATCCTTTGTGTAAGCAGCAGTCTCAAACAAAGGCTTTTGCTGTCTGCCTTAGCAGATTTGATTCCAGCAGCCCTGGCTGGATTGTGGAACACCCAGGCCATGCTTTGTCTGCCCAGCAGCTGGGTGACCTCAGCCTAAACACCCTTTGAAGAGCATCATGCACTTTTGTCCAGCTCCTGGCTCCCAAGAAGGTCTTTGTGAGGTGAATGTCAAGCTGTGTATATACAGCATACATACACAAACTGTATGTGCTCTGTATAGGCATGAAAACCAACTACTTGCATTTCCCTATTCCAGCAGCTATTGTGCTGTGAGTGTGTACAACATCCACAGGCACAGAGGAGAATAAACACAGGCTGAGAGAGTTGGGGCTGTTCAGACTGCAGGAGAGAAGGTTGTGTGGAGACCTCAGAGCAACCTGCCAGGAGCTGAAGGGGCTCCAGGGAAGCTGCAGAGGGACTCTTGGGTAGGAACTGCAGGGACAGGACAAGGAGGAATGGGGAGAAATTGAAAGAGGGAAATGTAGATTAGATCTTAGGCAGAAGTTTTCCCTGTGAGGGTGGTGAGACACTGTCCCAGGTTGCCCAGGGAGGCTGTGGCTGGCCCAACCCTGGCAGTGTTCACAGCCAGGTTGGCTAAAGCCTTGAGCAACCTGCTCTGGTGGGAGGTGTCCCTGCCCAGGGCAGGGGGGTGGGGCTGGATGATCTCTAAGCTTCATTCCACAACCCCTTAACATACTCTGAAACTTTAAGATCCTATAGAGCAGAGACCTGAGTTAACTACATCTGCTCCTGAAGAGCTCCTACGTAAACCACTCCACATTGCTGAGCAGCAGAGCAGTGGTGCCAGCTGGAGATGAGGAGTAGTGGTGGCAGGATGGGACTGAACCTCAGCTCTGCTGATGTTTGGGGACCAGAGCTGGCTTTGCATTGATGTCTAAGTGTCCTGGCTGCACTGCCTGTTGGATATGACATGGAGCTGACAGGATTTTGCCTTTAATCTGTCATGTCCCTTTCAGTCCATCCCTTGGAAGTGGTACAGTCCTGTTCCTTTGCAGCCAACTGTCTCCCACCGTTAATGTGCTCATTATTTCCTCAAGATTTGACATCATCTCTTGACAGCTTGTTTTACTCCATCTCCTGGTGGCTCTTCAGCAAGCCTCAGTATTCAGTGGTGAGAAGCAGCAGACAAAATGTTCATTTAGGGCAGCTGAAAGCAGTTTTGAGCTCAGGGTAAAACAAAAGGTGTGGGATTCACCTTGCTCCAGAGTCCTTGTTGCTTTCCCCCTCCCTCTGTAGTGCTGTCCCCTCTCCTGTAACAGGAAGTTCTTGCAGCATCCATAAACAGACTTGAGAGAGCAGAAAGACTATTATTTACTGTCCTTAAGGACAGACCTAGCAGATTCTAGATCCTTTAGGCTGCTACCTAATTACTTAAGTAATGCCTGCAGCTGATGCAGAAGCAGTAGGAAGGACACCAGGTCCAAGTGTCTGTCCTCCTGCCAGGGCCTTGGAGAGCATCCTCAGCTTGTCCAGGCAAACTGCTTAGTTTAGACTATTTATCTCTCTGCAAAAGTTCCATAAAACATTTCTTTCTTTATGTTTTTATTCCCCTCCAAAATAATCCAAAAGTTGGATTTTTGAGGCCAAACCCCACCCTGCTGGACTTGTTATCTGTGATACTTTGTCTTCTGCTGGGTATAGGAGTGTTCCCACTGTTTTCCCTTTCCATGAATGTTTGTATAAGCAGAAACCACTTTATGGTTATTCCCAGAAAGCAGGAGCAGTTGTGAATTCATGGAAATGATGAGAATACATGTTTATGAACAGTGTTCTGCATAATTGAGTGCCAGAATTGAAAGCCCAATGTCCTGTTTCTTATTCAGTGGTGTAAATCCAGAGCAGCTCCAAGGGTGTTGGGCTCTGAATCCTCATCTCCGAATTATTTGAGACCACGTTCTGCATTTAGGAAAGGAGTTTGTGTCTGCACTCTGTGTCCTTGTGTCTAGACTCACTCTCACCCTATTGCTGTCATCAGCACCAACCCTGCAGCAAGAAATTTTCTCTCTCTCAGCAGCTGATGACTAGTGTGGAATTTGTAATCGTCAGAGCACGCTGTGTGCACATGGGACTCGATTACTACAACACACATCATGCTTTGGGCTTTTTATTTGTCTTCTTTTTTCCCCTACTAAACACAAAAACAACTTCCTATTTAGGAATTTGAGCTTCACATCCCAGTGGGAATGTTTTAATGGGCTACAAGTAGCTGTTGTTCGACTTTCATGGCAGGGAGAGAAGTGCTGATCTGCCCAAAATGTTGCTGTGTTACAGGCAACGATGAACAGGAATGTCAGGCAATTCAGGCTGGTGCAAAATTGGCATCTAGTATGGCAAAGCTTGTTTGAGACTTAGGTGTTTTTGTGTGTACTGATTAGTTTCCTATTATTCCTGTGTTTGCTAATTAGCCCCAGGTCAATACCCAGAGCCTGAAGCTCTGCTGAGCTGTGGCTGCACTTGCTGCAGCACAAGGGCACAGGAGGATGAGAGTCCCCTTCAAGCTTCTCTCACTCAGACACAGTGGCTCTTGCTTCTGCTTAGGGTGGTTTCTTTTGTGGGTCCTGAGCTGGAAGGGACCCACAGGGATCATCAGTCCAACTCCTGTCCCTGCACAGGACACCCCAACACTGCACCCTGTGCCTGAGAGCATTGGCCAAACACTCCTGGAGCTCTGTCAGCCTTGGGGCTGTGCCCACTGCCCTGGGGAGCTGTTCAGTGCCCAAACACCTCTGGGGGAAGAACCTTTTCCTGATATCCAACCTAAACCTCTTGACATGCTGTTCCCTTAGGTCCTGTGACTGGTCAGCAGACAGAAGAGATTAGAGCTGCCCCTGCACTGCTCCTCATGAAGAAGCTGCAGATCACCATGAGTCTCCCCTCAGTCTCCTCTTCTCCAGGCTGAACAGACCAAGTGGCCTCAGCCACTCCCCATACAGCCCCCCCACGAC